TATAGTATACATATATGTCGCAGATAAAGATTTGTGATTATATAATTAGATAATAAAATACGTATGTAGTGGTAGAAATACTTTTAATTTCTTCTTTCCTGTGTAGATTAAGGACTTAACTCCACTCACGACAAATCCCGCGTACAAGTCGGTTCTGGATCTTTACATAGACGATAATCTAGTAGAATCTATCATTCGGCTAGAAGGATCAGATTGGCTAGATCATTTCCGGCTCCTTAATCTTCGAGGGAATAAACTGATCGATGTTAGTTTACCGTATCAAAATAAATCGAACTGTTCGCGGAGATTTAATTAATTAAATTTGCGTAATAGACGTGTTGAAGTAAAGAACAAAATGATTGAATCATAATTTTATCCGGTAAATGATTATTAAGAGAATCGAAAATAAATACGATTTAAAAAGATTATATAAAGAATCACGCGCGTTGTTTCATATCAACATAAAGCTCGTTACTATTTAATAAGCGGATTAGACTACAGATATAGTTTATCATTCTTTGTTCTGCGTCTTTCAGTTACCTACTTACGCTTTGGAAAACGCATTGTTGCACAATGGCAATGTAGCTGGCCTATATCTTGGCAATAATTCGTGGACGTGCGATTGTCATTTTACACCGAGCTTTCAGGTATGATTGAATTGATAATACAATTCGTATATACTATACGAATGTTTAAATGTATTTAAGATTGGCAACTAATTGTTATTTTGTTCGATTAAGATCGGCACATTCTCTATCTCAAATTTTGCATTATAAAAGAATCATGGATAAAAAATAAATAGAGATAGAAAAAGATAGAAAAAGTTGTGCAATAGCAAACCTAATCTTTAATTTTTAATATCAGATATTTACGAATTTAATATTATATTTTATAATTTAAGACGGTTGATTGAGGCATCAGTAATTCATAATTTTTAATAATTTAACGAAATACTATTTATATCTTTATAGGATCTCTTGATCAGGCATTCAAATTTAGTAAAAGATATCAACGACATAAGATGTACCATCACGAGCGAAAACGATAACTCGAACAAGCAGGTGACTACTTACATGCCTTTTTTATCAAGACGTATTATTGAGAAATAGATGCATGAATAATGAAATTGAGATGTAATTACATCCCGCTTTAATGTAATAAAATGGACTTGTAGATTCGCGATCTTACGCGGACAGAGATCTGCATTTCAGTGGATGAAGATTCTTGGTTTCATCCCCTTGACATTTTGAACATTGTATTAGCATCATTAATATTCCTCGTGCTCGGTAAGCTTTTGTACGATTATTGGTCTTTCAAGAAAACTGGAAAGCTACCTTGGATCGTTACCAAAATACCATGATAATGCTACAAGTGCCTTTTATCTCTTGTAAAAAAGATCATGCGTTTAATTATTACAGCAATGGAGATTATAATAGTGAAACCTCTGCATTAAAATATCTTCTTAATTACACTCTTTCTAGTATATTTATCTTGTAAGCATTTATGTGTGTGTGTGAGCTTGAGTTTGATCGATTTTTTTTTAGCATGATAAAGAAGATTGAATGTGTGTTTAAATTAAATTTAGAAAAATTCGAGATATCTAATAACTGTATGTATATATTTAAATTTTATTATTAAAAGCAAGTAAAGAATAAATCATATCTTAGTATTTGATATGAACAAATCTTTCGAGTGATATCAGCTTACATTGTTTATTGTTCCGCTTGTTGAATATATTTCTGGTACAAATTTTCAGCAGCCGCAATCTTAGCACTATCTTTTCTAGAACCTTGTCCTAAAAAAATATTATATTATTATATTATTATATTATAAATATTAAAAAATATTATATTAAATTATTAATAATTATTTGAATATTGGGAAAAGAACATGTCATAAAATATTGTGCTTCTCTTATGTAAAATTTTTTTTTTCATCGAAAGATCAAATCATATTAAATTAACTTTGTGCGAGAATAAAAAAATGTATAGAAATTGATTTAATATATTGACATTTTTATATTTTAAAATACCAATTCCAACACGGCCTAAAGCTACGCATTGAGCTTCATACATAAATCCTTGAGTTGTTTTTAAATTGCGAATAGAGTACTCGGGAGTAGTTTCTTCTTTCTCGAGACAAAATTTGTAGAGTTTTTGCGACGCGCTCTTTAATTTGCCTTGATGAAGTGCTATTATCTCTAACATCCTAAATGTCAGATATAAAGAATCAGAAAATAAATGTACACTTTTTTAGACTTTTGAACGTGCATACAAATTAATTTTCATTATGTTCCCAACTCAATTTTTTTTATGTTATATGAAATGGATCGTTCTCTTAGAATATTACTCCGACAAACTTTATATTGCTAAAATTTATATTCTGATTTATTATATTGGCATTACATTTATTGAACTTACTCTTCTCGCGAAAAATCAGATAATCCGCGGATGAACGACGAAAGTTTCGAGCCATCCATCTGACGCTCGGCTACCATCCATAATATTTTTGCCGCCAATTCGTTCTTGGCCAGATCCTTGGTCACGGCACAAGACATTGCTGGCACATTATCCAAACTATGTTTAACAACGTGTAAAGAAGCACTTGCAACATTTTGGACATCAGATTTATAAAGGGCAAAAGTTATTAAAATAATAATTAAAGAAATAACAAGAGCATTGTAATTTGCATTGTTACTGAATGAAAGAATAATGTCTAACATTTATAATAGTGAACGATAATATTCTGTGTAATCTGTTTGTATAAAATATAAAGTACTACCGCGAAATCCACACAGATCACCATTTATCACATACAGATTCGGTTTCGGTTTGTACTCATATTTGATTGACACTTTGCACCGCTTCGCATATTCCTCAAGGATAGTCAACGGCGAACGAGGAATTGCAATTGAATATTTTGCAGTGATATCCTACAATACGTAAAGGTTTTTATCGCAATAAAGCAGTAAAAATAATTTTGCATAAATCAAGGGCATCCATCGGAGAATAAAATAAATTAGAAAATGCAATAGAGATATGTATCTATGAGAATTTGAATATTATTTTGAAAAAATATGTGTTGCAAATTTAAATGCCTACTTTATTTAAGTATATTACAAATATAATATAAAAATATCGATACCTGCAAATTATTATTTATAATTTCTATATTATCGGTCTTGTTAGATTTATAAACATCAGTTTCATCACATTTATTGATCATAAGCAAACAATTATCTATATTCATGTTTGGCTGAGTTTCTGAATCGTTATCATCTAAAAGCAAATTTATATTTAAAAGCATATTTTGTGTTATTTGTGTTATTAATTGCAAAAGGAATTTTATATACATATATTATAGATACCGGTATTTTCCGTATCGTTGTGCCATTCTCGTAATGCGTTATCAGTTATTTTTGTCCATCCTTCCAAACTATTCTTTTCTTCTATTGTTTCCATCAATTCTAGATTACGTAACGTTATAGATTTTTTCAAATGTCTGTGCAGCAACGAGTATTTTCATAGGATTCTACTTTTTATAAATGTCATATCACTCACTTTCCTCGGAGCTAACATCGATCCCTTTATCACTTCTATCCGTTACATTCATGTCTGATTCCTCCTGGAAATTCTGACATTTATTCGTCGAACTCGTTTTGAAATGTTGAATGACTTTATCGACTCTTGAAGGTGAATTCAAATGATATCTCTGATCGGGATATTTCATCTCACACTGAATGGATTGTTCGCTATGATGTTGAGATAACTCGATTTGCTTTTCGTCAATATCGTGCGTCATAAGTTGCATTTCAACATTCTCGGTAATTTCGGGGTGTTCCAAAATCTTGGAAAAGGCATGTTTTCGTTTAAAATTCTGATCAATAAAATAGCAATGTGACAATAAGTGGAGAATATCCGGATCTACATACATTCGTTTCTTCGGCGAGAACAAATTCTATATCAGACACCACTGTGGTGTTAGAGTCCCGAGAATCCGGGAAAAGAGCTGTGTGAAACGAGTTGGACGTGTCTACAATATCAAATGAGTATCAGACAATAGCTCATACTAGGCAATATTATCACGTTGTGAATATTAAAGAGATTTAGAGAGAATTGTTGAAATTTTTAAAATATTTATAAACTGGAATTAGATACAAAATTATCTCACGCGCAATAACTTGATAAATAATTTTTTATTATAATGTTATTGTAAATGGATCTAGTATATTTAAGAAATTATCTTACGCGACGATATTACGTCGCAAATATTTTAATAAAAATTTTTTAATTATTTAGCTAATATTAAACTAACTTTATAAAATCAAATCGACACATGATTTATATACATAATTTGGTCAATAAATCCACTTATTAAATCCAAATATAATTCAAAAGAGAAATGGATGTAGGTCGTCTATGTATATATTACATCATATTTCTATGAAAGATAAATTTTCCTCGTGAATAAATTATTTGTGTTTCCCATTCTATCATGCATATCATTAATTTAATAGCGTGATAATTATAATGAGGTTAATCAAGTGCATGGATAAATGCAAACTCTGCATAATTAGAACACGCTACTGTAATCATTAATTTCAAGTTATTTTATTATTTTATTATTCAAGCCATTTTATTATTATGTAATAAATTTAAATTTCACATGCAAATTATAAAAAAATTAAATTATAAAATTTCTGAATTGTTTGAGAGAAATTGCTGTAAAAGCACGCTACAACGTGCCATAAAGATATTCCTGATCGAATTAAATTGTACCGTTTCCTTGAGCGCAGGGTGTCTTGAGCTGCTGCAACAGATCCTCGGCCCGTTCAATCACCGTTTCCATTTCGCAGAGAAGCGGCGCCGCCTGCGGAAATCGCCGTGTAATGGTGTCCCAAATGATCTCAGCATCCTCGACACCATGCAACGATCTTGGCGGTTCCAGTTTGGCATGCGACGACGCCGTATCGGCGAACGATGCGCTTCCGCTGGACATTCGAGGATTCCTTCTTTTCGCGGATCTGTCTGCGACGTGATGAATATTTCATCGAGATCGGCGCGATAAATCTGTCAGGCCACAAGCGCGCAGTTTTACATTTTTCGCGGATGGAAAATTGACGGGTGGAAAATGTCAAGAGACAAACAACGTAAGAGCGCGATATTGATGTCGCGCGCGATCTGTATCTCTTGCGATATAAAATTTTATCAGATCGTATAAATAAAAATTAAACTCTGTTATTATTATTTAGAATATAGAAAGAGAAAGCATTTATTTTGAGAAATTAAATCGTAAAAATCATATTTAATGATTTTATATGATTAATTTATCAATTTTGTTATAAAGAAATTACTCGCTTCATATTTTAAGACCATTTTTTTGTTATAACAAGTATTAATTAATATATAAAACTATCTTTCACATTTTTCGAATCATTCTCTTTTGAAGTATTTAACAAAAAGTTAAAAAATTAATATATCGCAATAATTTAAAATCGTAAAAAAATAATTTTTACATTATTTCTGCTATAATCAGCGTTATAATTATTTTTAATGTAGTAAACTTTGTATGAAAAAGTACACACTCATATAATGATATATTTGAAAATCATTGCAACGATTTCAATCGCGACAGATCAACGGTTATACGATATGGATCTATAAATTTAAATTAAGTCTAATATATATAAATGATGTTAGCATCTCTCTTTTAAGGAACTATGATTGAAAAAAGACTCATGTAATCGTCATGACAGAATATTTGTAAACTCTATCTAAATATAATACATACAAATATTTAATATATAAAAAAACAGGACTCTTAATAAAAATTTAAATTATTCTAAAATATGTTTTTTTTTAGGTATATCTTTTAATTAAATATTTTTTACTATTGTAACTATATTATATATCTATTGACTCTCTATTAACTATCTTTTCTCCATATGCCAACTCTCTCTCTCTCTCTCTCTCTCTCTCTTTATAATGTTTAAGTTAGTCAATTATGTATTTAAGTCAATGTTTAGTTATTATTTAAAAATCATAATTGATATAGAAAATCTAATTTAAATAACCCTAAGTTTTAACGACTTCTCTTAAGTTTCTTTTATATCATCATTCATTCTATAGAATGATGCAAAATAGAATGCTATGTGTTGGATCACAATTCTTCATATCTCATACAGCACAAAACATTGCTACAATGTTCTGTGTTGTATGAGATGATTTTTCACGAGTAAAAACGTACATATTCTCTCTCTCCCTCTCTCGAGAAAATTATTTAGAAAACAATGATGAATTAATAACGTACTTCCGACTACTGTTCTGCTGAATTTCTTTAACGCGGTGGTATTTTATTAAAATTATAAACACGGGATTACAATACATCGTGTAACGCGTAATACTTGCTTAGAAACGTCGTTGAATCAAGGCCTCTTTGATTCAAAACTTTTTACCATCCACTTTTTTAGCTACGTGTGTGCGAGCCAGTTTGTGCTACGGCTTTTTTTTTTTTTTTTTTCGTGTACGTTCTTACATACATGCATATAACTATATTTTCGTTATCGTAGGACGCTTTTCCTCGATTGAGCGCGAGACGTGGAGTCGAGTCATGTCAATATCGAGTCATATAAATCTCATAATGTGGTGAGCACGCTCCACGATTTAGACTTTTATCCGTCAAAGAAATTATATTCGTACTGATTCGCTCGAAGTTACGGCACGAAGACAGGAACGACTTTCCGTGCGTACTTTTTAATGGCCGGGTCACATCGACATTTCGTGCCTGTGGAAAGATACTGGTAATATAAATCGTCGTCCCCCGTGAAACGATGCGTCCCACTTTATGTATTACGTCAGTTTCTACATCGTCGAGGGACTTATGCGTTTATTTATTTATAGAAACAGATGTGAGAACTCTACCGACTCGTGGATATATCAAAAATTTCACGAGAAATGAGTTTTTTTTTAACGCCACGACTTTGTACAAAAAAAAAGGATAATCGGAAGAATTTCTTTTTGAAAGAAGATCGTCTCTCATCATTCATGAAAACGATTGCTACTCGAGTCTTGCTAGGCAATAGTAATAGATGGAGGCGCGCTTAAATTAATTTCGAACTTTCGATATGTTAGAGTAAATTTTAACATGTCTTTAATATTGCAATCGCGCGGTTAACACATCGAGGAGCTTGGCGTGTGCACAGTTTCGCTTCTGATGCACGCTACGTTATTCGCTAGTACGTTACTCACTTTCGGATTCCATGTCTTTATAGTATATAGAATGTCATATACTCGAACAGTTTTTCGTATTCGGGTAGAAAGAGACTTATAAAACTTTATGAATAAATAATATAACTGCGGCAGTATTCGTGTAGATAGACGATGTCTTATATAGGTAGTGAATTATTCACAGAGCAATTCATGAGACTGGCGAAAGATATCTTAACGCGACCGGAGCGTCTCCGTAGGAATTTTTAAACTTTGTGACACAGGATCTATGTATATGAGTTTGCAAAGATGTACAAAAATACCACAATTAACATGTTAGAAAATGTCTTAGAATCGCGATCGCAATAAATTCTAATTTAACGGCCGTTTTTATATAAAATTATGCAATATACAAGCCATTGTTCAAAACAGTGGTGTAAGCAATTTTTTTCTCCACTTTGATATAGACAAGAAAAGTTTACAAGAAGGTATCTATAAAATCCAATTGCTTTATCTCGCGATCACTTATGATATTTTTCTAAAAGAGAAGCAATATATATATCTAAAGTTTTGTTTCACTCTAATTTTTACGTCCCAAACTTTTATTTTTGTCAACTTATACCGCTATTCCGTCCAATGGCTCACTATAAACTCGCTTTTCAATCAACTTTTTACTTATTACTCGAGTTTGGACCACATATCTTTTTTTTGAACGATTAATGATCTAGAAGTTATACGCTGGATCGCGTTAAGATATCGACATCGTCAAGGAAGATCGCACATCGAAAGATCGCGATCCATCTTCGATGATGGTTTCAAGGATGCGTATATGCGAACATGAGTTCACGCGAGAGATTTATTTCCGATTGTTGATACGCTTACTTCTATCACAGCATACAGACGTACGTTTAGTTTAAACACGCTTTACCGTACAGTGTCTATAATAGGCTAACGCGTGGAGATCGCGTCCATTGTTCGCTTAACCATTTCGTTTGCTTAATTCCTGTTGCATTCGCAACAGAATTATGGCGTACATGCTTTCCTTCGGCATCCAATTAGTTACACATGGATATCTACGTTCGAGCCACGCGATACCAAACCTATTAGATTAATGCAAGTGAACTATCTACGTATCTCATGCTGTCTTTCATAAATCACCTATAAAGTTTAGATAGTCGAAAATCGCGGATACGGGGATAATAAGAAATGATCGTTAAATTGATGTAGAATAAAGTCACAGTGAGACGAGCGACTGAATCATTGCGTAATGCGTAAACAAATGACACATTGCAATGAGTTTTAATATATTGTACAATAATGTAATATAATACGCGAATAACACGTAAGGGTCGCTGGACTGTTTGCGACAACGGTTAAGATTACAAAGGGCACTTATTGATAAAATGAGGATCCACTTAAATTTAATTAGATTTTTTATAATGTTCATTAGAGCCAACAATTCGGCCCTGAATATGTTACGTTGACTATCAGATTTGCGAATGCACGATGAACTTGAAATTTCAATCAAATCCTGATGTGTTACCATAATTTAACAATCAATATCTTTAAATAATAAAAAGAAAACAATTTAATGTAGTCACTTTAATTTGGATCAGTGCAATGTATTCAAGCCTGCGATTAGTTTGATAAATGGTGCTCTAGTTTCATCAACGAATGGGTAAAATCTAGACAAGTGCAAAGGATCCGGTTATAACGGATTTGTCAGGATAGACTCTGCGCATAAACATCAATGATGTATCTTAATCGCGGTTAACTTTTCATCGGTTTTTCTCGTGAATCTCATTGACCTGAAGAACAAAATTAGTATTAACGATGAGCACGAGTGTCGTCTCGGAACACATACAATCGGAAACGATCAGGAATATGCCCAATCTTTTCCCAATATACAGCCAATTTAATGCCGCGAATACATCACTCGCGTGTCGTATCCATAACGTTTAACATCCTATCCTCTCTCATCGATCGCATCGTCATTTGCACGAAAATGATCTGTGAAACGCTTCTCTCGCGTTTTAGCTCTTGCATCTTCATCCTTCTCTCCCTTCATCTCGTTATTTTTATCGTCGTAGTCGCGTCGTAGACATTGTGTTTACGGCGTTCATCCGATAACCGACCGAAAGTGCACTCAACGAAAACAGCATATCCTACGTCTTTTTGAAGCATTGTATATGTGCGTGTATAAACGCCAATTTTTCGCTGCTCTTCGTCCACTCGCGCGTATCTTTTTATTCTTAAATCGTGTGTATATCTAAACCTACCATGATACTGCGGTGTTATTGTAAATGCCATATATACGAGCGTACGAGAGGTGCATGTACATCTTCCTCTCATCGGCTCGTTAGGATTATGAGCGTCTTGCGATCCTTTCTTACGCGACAAGCGGATTGTCATTCAATCTGATTTAATGAGTCAAACCGTAATCCGCTTATTCAAAGCAGACCAATCGTTATGAGATTCAACTGAAGGAATAGAACTCGGTGATGGAATCACTTGATGCCACCAAACTGAGTGCTTCATCTCGTGCGCTCGCTTCTATGTGCTTCGAATATATTCTACGGGATTTCGTACGATTACTGCGAGAGTATGTATATATGTATGTGTGTGTATGCACGTGCGCGTGTAATGTGTGTGCTCTTGGGATGGGAGTGTCTGGCTGCCGTACACTCCGGTCCGTTTCTTCATGGGTAGCGGAAACAGGTAAGGGAAGGGAGGGGGCCAGAGCGAGGTAGGCATTTAAAAATCATGACTATTCACACGGTGGTCTCGATATTGGCAATGGCGTATTGTCAACAAATACTGTCCTTCCCGTAATTCTCCAGGTACATCTCCTGGGGCGTGGCTAGATTGTAGCGTCCGCTCAGCCGGCTCCCGGTCAAGCCGTTATTGTGGTGGGTGTGATTCACGTGAAGATGATTGACGTTTAGGGCGACGTTTTTCTTCTTCTTGCGCGCCTTGTGCCGGTAGAGGCAGTACTTGAGGCAACCGGTAGCTAGTAAGAGGATCAGAAATATACCCAGGGCACCGGCGCCCACCGCGACGTAGAGCAGCGTAACCCCGAAACGGTAAGAGCAATTGGCCTCTTCCTCGTCGAAACCCGAAGGACAATGACGTACGCCGTCGCACCACAGAACCGAGCTGATGCACGCCTGAATCTCTGGACATCTGACGAGAGAAATGAGATAGTTCCGATTATCTTCTGATTTTATCTATACTTTTCTTACTTACAACAAATAAGTATTTAAAAAATTTCGTAATTCTTTACTTTTATATACTTGGACTACTTAAAAATCCTGGAAATCATAATGGAAATCGCAACAAACCTATAGGGACAATCTTCCGCAGGTAATATGGTGAACGCATTGGCGCCCAGATTAGGTGTGGTTGGCGAACGTTTGGAGATCGCGATCCACGTGACGGCGTAGAAACCGGGTTCCCGCTGGAGGAACTCCACAACAAAGCTGCGGGAATGCTGCGCCATCGCCACGCTTGCGTTCACGGCGCTGTAGTTCCAGCCGCCAGAGAAGAAATCGACGGTCCTGGCCGTGTCGACGCCACCCTCCGGACAGATCACGCTGCGCTCCTTCGTATCCGCGGCCGAATAGACGACGATTCTGTTCAAAGTCATGCAATCCTCGACATTATCCAGAGTGATGCTGTAGCCGGCGGTTCTCAAATACAAGAAGTTGATGCGCGCGTCCTCGGGCTCGATCAGCCACGGCTCATTCACGCACTGTGTCGCCGTGAGATCCTCCGTGTTCGTCAGGATCTCCTCCACCGCAGCCACGCCGGGGATCACTCGCGGTAGCGGGCTTCTGAGGGAGATTTCGCCGCTGGTGCCGCGCAATCGTCGCTCCTCGAGTCTCGTCGAACATCCGTGCTCGCTCGACTCGGCGCCCACGGGAACGAAACGGTATTCTCCCTCGAAGAAGAAATCTCGGTAATCCTGAGTGACGTTCATGAGCGTGACGGTGAACCTGACCTCCACCATGTTCGATGTCAGAGTCCGCACGACGATTCTCTCGCTCATGTTTGAGCACAGACAATCGCGAACCTATAAACAAAGAATTGATGTTGTTGAATAAATAAGAATATCTAGTCATCTTTGGCAGGCTTTTAACTATATATAGAAAAAAGAAGTCGTACGTACAAGTTCAACTCCTTGCCAGGGGTATTCTGCGACAACAAGATTCGCCATGCCAAATTTCTTAACATCCGTCGTGCGCCGATCGCACGTCCATCGGTTCACCAACGGGTCCACGTAAGACGCGCAGCTCTTACCGCCGAAAGACGCCCTGACAAAGGACAGCTCTATCCTGTGATCGGGTTCGGCCTCAAATTTATATACGCAGCTCAGATTCTGAGCCCCGCCACGACCATAGAAGAATACGCTCTTCGGTGATGCAAATTTGCCGGCATTAGACAAGGAGGAGGAGGAGGAGGAGGATGACGATAGGGACGATGTGGAAGACGTGGATGAAGTCGACGACGTCGAGGTAAACACGTGGTTGCACGAAATGGCTTCGTGCACGAACTCGTAACGTAGCACAAAACTTATCGGATAGAGCGCACTACCCTGGCGCAATATATGTTCCAGGGTGAGGTCGCGGCCGGTCGACACGTAACTCTCCGCGAGACTACACGGTCGCGTGTGACGGCTACTGTTGCGCAGCAGACTGTGGTCGCACAACCGCGGTATGTCGTCCTTACAGAACTGTCCCATCAGTGTAACATTCTGTAACGATTATTACACAATGGTCTCAAGATGGAATACCGAATATTTGAGTTGCCTTGACAATAATTTAGATATCTTGATGACTTTGTGTTACATAATGTAAATATTAATATAAACAATTTCTTTAACAAATTGTTGATTATATCCGTCAAATAATTATATTCTTAAGCTTCGTAGAAGTTATATATTATAATCAATGATTGAATCGACAAATTCTTTTTTTCACGTGATTTATATTATGAGATTCTTATAAAAGCACAGAGCATTTTTAATTTTCTGTGAATTTGTGTTTATGTCTGTACATATTACTTTAGTCACAAAGTTATTTTAGTATGGAACTTAGTATGAAATTTATTTTAGGACAAAATAAAAAGTTAACAAATAATAAACTTTGTAGTTGATGCACAGTTAGTGATACGTACTTTTCGACTAGAAGCGAGTTTGTCCACAGTGATATCGCCATCCCATATCAGAAGTTTTGCGTTACAATCAGCGGTAGTGTCGATATTTGCAGCCGCTTCCACGCTGGCGGCGTAATATTTAACAAACGATAACCAAACGATCTCATTGAGTTTTCCTTGGAAGTGATAACGGCAGGTGGTGTTTGGCGGTAAAGAATGTTTCGGGTTTTCCAGAATACCAGACGAGTTCTCGTCTCCGGATATATAAAAATCGCAGTTCTCGTTTTCCTTCACAAAACTTCGAGACTTTTCATCAACAAAGATCACCTGTACATACATGAATATATAATATATAAAGAAGATATCAAGAGACAAATTTTTTATCGAATATATTTAATTATTATACTTAAATAACACGCCACTCAGTAATATAAAAATATAATCACAAGCCATTAGTTTTTATAAAAGTTGCAACTTCCATATTTTATAACAAATTTTTAGTGTATACATGTACGACATGTTTGTGAAATAATACAGTAATATTGCAGTATCCAGAGAATTACCTGAACTTCGAGTTCAAATCCTGGCAGGAAAGACAATGGAACCGGATGAAACGGATTGTCGTATGGGGATGTATGAAACTCCAACAACATCGTATTGTGACTACTGACGATGTCGGGCACCGCGTCTCCTCCGCACAGTCTCACGAGCACTCGATCTGAGGTTGAACCTCCGTCATATACCGTCAAGTAATCTTGCACGACGTTGCACTGATCCCACACTCTTGAAAAGCATGCAAATTTTATTTGGAAAATTTATTCCGCTTTACTCGCATTCGTTTCGCTCTCCCGCGTCTGTTTTCTTTTTATTTTTATAAAAAATTCTTTTATATTATAAAAAAGGGAATGCTCGCGGAATATATGTTAATTTAATATCAATCTATTAAATATCAGCAATTTACCTAAGCACTCGTTGACTTCTGTCGTACTTGACGACTTGGTCCTTAATATGTATCTTGTGACTGTTTCGTTGACTAACGGCAAGTAAAGCTCGATGACCCACTGGCGCGCGGTTTTGCTCCACCCGATAGTAGCAAGTGACATTCCTGGGGTAAACTCCGGGATAATTCGGGGACTGCAGCCGGCAAGCTCTAGTATCGCATTTGGTGAGGACACGATCGCAATACGTGCCGTTCACCAGCTCGCCGCGCCATGTGGACATACTGCTGTTTCCGTATCTGAGATGCGCCTCGCTTCTTCTCAGGAACTTGTACGACAGCTTGAAGTCGAAGTTGTAGCCGATTCCCTGAGACAGAAAAATAGTCCGCGAATCCGTGCCGCGACCGTAACACGACCATCCCTTTTATTTCCCATCAAACACTTTCCCATCGTTGATCAAACTTGTATAGATAGACACTTTTTAATAATGATCGTAAGTGAAAAATTTACTCTAAGGAATTTAAGGATGTTTTGGCTGTACAATAGTAGCAAAAAACTGTCAAAATTTAAAAAAAGGAACATGTTTTTTACGTTTATACGTATTTATTGCGTATTGTTTGAAAAATCAATTATAAAAAGAATCCAATCCGGATTATAAAAAGAATTAAAATATTACAAAATAATATAGGTTTTAACGTCTTCGTAAAAGAAAATAGTTATAATTGATATTTTTCCCATTTTATGACAAAAACTATTAGAGTTTTCTTAATATATGTGACAATTTTTATTTCATTCAAAATTGTCAATAAATTGTCAATAAATGCTAAAATACGCGATTTTCCATAAGAATCAATACTAACTTTAAACTTAAATAATTTCCAAACCGTTAATAGAAATGTGCTCAGGTTTTGCACATATACTCAGAAGAAATAGTAGAAAAGTTTACGAAATTTTCATGCTTTTGTCAATGTCTTGACATATGACACATACATCCTTAACAAATCGATAGCAAGAGAGCAAATAACGGTGTATATCCCTTAAAATTTTTTGAAAGTGAAGTAATTTTTCACATAAATATTATTTTATCGAAATTAAAATTTTTCGATCTTGAGTAATTTCGATAAAAGTATCTTGCGCAACATTTCATATTGTTGCAGCGAAATTGCGCGAAATCAGAACATGTATTCCCGTGAGCTAACGCAATTTCTTACCTGCTCTGATAAACGTAGTAAATATAAAGTCAGATTGATGGAAGGAGTTTCGCTGTAATAGACGGTGTAGCCCCACGCGCTGCCGCACCATTGTCCTCCAGTCGCAGGACGACCTTCCTCGCGAATAGTCATGAAACCATCTGGACATCCTTCCGACGTAAAGGATAGAAAGCGGCCGACCGTGAAGGTATCAAAAGTTAACTGTAACACGGGGGATATTATTCTAAAAGTTATGAGCAGGCGAATATCCGCGTTCCGCAACCAGCTAACGGTTTTTGTTGGAGAAATAAAATTACAGATGTCAAAAGTTGCTACAAGTATCATTGACTTTTTGCGATAAAAAAATTGTTTCTATTATAACCACGTTAATTATCTCGTAAAGTTAAAATTTAGATTAAAATAATGAAAGTAAAATAAATCGCGAGGAGAACGTTTCAGCAGTATAAAAACCCGTACAATTCTCCTGTAATATAAAAAAATATATAAAATAATTATTATAATATATAAAAAACTATTATATTAATATATACTGTAAAAATAAATATAAAAACTATTATATTAATTTCTATAAACTTTTTATAATATGAAAATTATATGCTAAGACTGGATATATTACTAACTCAATTTTGTTTTATAATTTAACCATAAATTATAACTCTTTAACCGTAAATTATAATATTTAATATTCCCTATAATTACATAGAAAGAGATCTAAAAGCTTTTAGCACGTTTTTAGACACTTTTACATCTTTTTCACACTCCTATCATCTCCAAATTGATTTATCGCGATGCATAAAAGTTGCCCTAGACTCCTGATTGTATTCCGCTAACAACATAAGTATCGATTCTATTATTGCGGTGAGATATAATAATCGATATGTCAATATCAATCGGGATCAAAAATGTACTCGACGGTAACTTTGATTCACGAGATCAAGGATTTGTAGAGTAAGCGTATTCCGCGATGGCGGAACGTTTACTCAGCGCGCGCGCGCGCGCGAGAGAGAGAGAGAGAGAGTTTGATTTAATTTCGCCAATAAACGCGATAAGAATCGTAAAAGCCAAGGATATAAATTATTATCCGGGCTCCGACGCGGCGCGGCGGCGCGGCCCGGCTGTCAGCTCCATAACAGACTCCCACGCCGGTCGCGGGGGCCACCACCCCAGTCAGCATTATTTTCTACAACTACATCATTTCTATATCCGACCTGGACTAGATCCCCGAGATCGGATCCAGCGGCAGTGAAGTTGAGATGACACAGGAATGGCAGTCGATCCTCCCTCGGTCGGCGTATCTCCACTCTGTAGGTCCGACCGACGTCACCGTACAACGTCCGATTGCAAGCTGAAATGTTTTTGTTGTGCGATAATTATACGCGCGAATAGGTACGTAAACGTACGACGTATAATTCCTCGTTCTGGATTAATAACGAGGCGTGGTAAAATAATATCCGAGGTCATTTTAACGTCTAATAACTACGCGCACGATGTTCCGTGCATCGAAACGTATAATGTCCGATTGCAAGTGGAAATGTTATTATACACTATGATGATACGGGAAAGATATATTATGGAATATCAATATAGTATGGGGTCATAATGACGCGTATAATATATATATATGATGAGACAAAGTATAATTCGCAGAAAAATATATATTAACTCCTAACTACTTTCACGATTTCGTATATCAAGTCGTATAAAGACCGGTGGCAAGCTGAAATGTTTTTATTACGCAATTATTATGCGCGAAAAATAAATCCTGGAGTGTAATTATTCCGGATTATAAAAACGCGGAGCGTGATAAAATATTATTTTGTAAAAAGGTATATCAACTCTTGAAATAAATCTCTCGCGGAATGTAATCTGTACGCACAGCTAAAAATTTATATACACGTTAATTACACAAAAATACACATTGCTATTTTTAAATATATTTAATATAAAATATATTTTAAATATATATTTTTCATTTATTTGTATTATGTTCGTTTTTAGCAATATGTATTTAAAAAATTAATAGCGGCGCTAAAAATACACCAGCGCAAAAAAAAAACTCAAGTGTTAATGTTATATTGACCAAAAATCTTTCTATATTTTGCACATTTTCTTATCTTATAACTGCTATGCGTTTCTAAGCGTAAATAATTATTCTACACAACTACCTCATTTGGACTTGCATATATTGGGAATGCGCAATTTGAAATTCTATGAAGGAATTGGATCATGAATACTATAGTAAATACTACAATATTACCATTCTATTGAAATGTGTCACGCATATATTATTGAAATTAAAAATTTAAAAGAACGAAAATGCGATATTTGTATAATATAATTATATTTGAGCTTCGCAAATCGATTAAATTTCGTATGCAGTGATAATTAGTATTATATCAATTACGAACGGTTAATTTATTTATCTCGTTATAAATTATCGAATAAAAATTATTTGACAGTGTGCGCTATGATAAAAGCCATATGTCAAGACAAATACGCGACTACAAACATATATTCTATGAATAAAATTTCATAACGTGATATAGTTTTGATTTTTACACAAATGGAGTTAAAATGATAACGCAGCTAAATAATTACTGGCTCGAAACATTATCCGCTCGGATGAGCGAAAACTTTGTTCCTGGTTTAATATATATGCGGTAATGAATATATGGAGTAAATACATACTCACGCTTGCCTGTTTATAATAATTATTTTTCTGCTCGATTTTATAGACACGCGTATCGGTTTTTAATATAAACATACTTTTTTACTTTATTACGCGTTTGTCTACCGTGGATATTTAACTGTTCATTTGATAATAATTAATTGTGTCCGATAGAGATATTCTGACGTAAAAACAAAAAGGTGTTTTTAACCCTCAAAAATGTAAAAACGATGATATATAAAATTCATTTTGGATTTAAATTATTTCGATTATTCAACAATTACACATAAATTCAGATTTAATAAGAGAATCGAATCGCAACACAATTTTCGCCAGAAAATTATCGCGTTTGAAAGTAAACATCTATTATTTTCCGGATTAAGTGCCAAATAAAGATCTTCTTTGGGAGATATCGCGACGTATATCGACTCTCTCCGATGAGAAAACTCGTCTTCGTTCGCTCGCGAATCCGATACTCACGAGTGCAATATCTCGGCTCGTCGGACTTGTCGTCACAGTCATTCTCGCCGTCGCAGTACTTGTCCTGTGCGACGCAATGTCCGCTGGTGCCGCATTGGAATTCGGACAGTCGGCAGAGCTGTCCGCTGCCGGCGGTCTCCGATGTCGGGCTGGATGTCGACGAGCTCGACGACGACGATGACTCGGGTGACGTCGCGCCGGAGTAGACCGCGTATCCGCTCGGGTATCCGGAGTAATCCGACGACGAGATGCCGAGAGAGTGGTAACTAGCCGAGCCAGCCTCGATCGAGGCCGCGATCGCGGCTGCGATCAGCAGCAACCGCCGACACACCAACATGCCCCCTCACCCTGAAAATGAGATCGGGAATCGAACCCGAGATCTCCGGGATGTGAGTCAGGCGCGCTACACACTGAGCCACCGGAGGCCCCAAAATGAGATTATAAATAACGTTAGTAAAAACTGTTATATGTAGGGTATTTCAGAAATACTTCAACAAACTTTGGGGGTGAGTTCTCCACACAAAAACAAGAAAAAAATGTCATATAAACATATGTCCGGAAATGCCTGGTTTATGAGTTATAATCGAAAGGTTTCAAGGACAAAAACTGACAGAATATATCTACAATGACACATGACCAATGTAATACATCTTTAGTTCAATTGTTTATCTACTCACAATTCATAACAAATGCTCAAAATGTTCTCCACTTGCTTTAATGCACGCATAAACACATTGAATCATGGATTGCCGCACCCTTTCAAAGATCCCATGACGGTTGCGAATGGTTCCGCAGGCATCTACGATGTGTTGGTGAAGCATTTCTTCATTTGCAATTTCAGTTGCATAAACAATGGCTTCTAAATGTCCCCACAGATAAAAATATAATGGATTTAGGTCAGGCCATGGTACTGAATTGAATATAATCTCTCGATTATAACTCATAAACCAGGTATTTCCGGACATATATTTATATGACATTTTTTTCTTGCTAAATAAAAATATTAATTAGAATTGATTCTGCTCATTTTGTTCCGCTAACTTATAAGACGTTTGCTTTTGTGTGGAAAGCTCATCCCCAAAGTTTGTTAAAGTATTTCTGAAACATCCTGTATATATAGAAGATATATAGGAAGATACAAGAATAAAAAAATACATAGTATCCTAACTCTGTTTCGTCACGCAATCGTGAGATTCAGCGCAACATGATTTGCTTTGGTCTAAGATTAACTTTCTTTTGTAAAAGATATCTAAGTACAATTCTTAATTTTGTTATTATTATTTATTTTGATTTTACGTTGAAAAAAAAACATTAGATTGATTTAAGCAAGTTGACAGCCGTTCTAATTTCTGATTATATATAAACTAATATTAAACAAAATTAATAAAATATATCTTGTCGTTATTTCAAATAGCATATAAAATTATTAATTGAATTTTGCCTTGTGAATTCTATTGCAATTTTAGACTGTCTAGAACTGCTTTAGTCTCATCGATAAGTAATTGTGTTAGAAATAATATATGTGGGATCGATTTATAATATATCTCGCTAACTTCATCCAATACTGCTCTGTATCAGACATCTACGGCTTCTGATAGTAATGGTAGTTCTATAAGTCTTTATCTGCACAAAGTTCACAGACAATAGAGTCCTAAGGGCTCTACAAATTGTCAATAAATGGCATGAACTATCTGGTTCTATCAAGAAAGAGAAAGTCTTCTTGTTTAATCATTATATTAGAGAAGAAAGTGATTTACGTATAAACGAAATAATACGTTTTTAGTCATTTATTTGATACTCCTTGTTCCAAGAGCACAAGAAGAAGAAACGGTATAATTCAGAATCTTGAAAAAGTAAATTGATATTGAAGAAAGACCTAGAGAAAGTCTTGGCAAGACTTTGGATATATTCATTGGTCGAGGATATATTCTTAAAAAGAACCGAATAAATAGTCGTAATATTTCACGGCTTGCAGGTGTTGCTTCAGCTCGTTTCGCGTAACGCTTTTTAGCGACGGCTCTTTTACACACAGCAAAGCCCCTCTTCTTTGTGGTTACATTTTTCTTTCACCGTGTGTATTCCCCTCTTGTTACTTCAATTTCGCGTATGTACTTTCGACGAGATAATTATTTTGATAAAAGTGGAATAATATTTTCTCTCTATTGTTCTTAAATATTAAATATATATTATAACTCTTTAAATCATTTTGAAGCATTAGGCCAGTCAAAAAGTAAAAGGACAGAAAAGAAACAAAAAAAAAAAGAAACAAGAAAGTCCCTTTACTTTTTGACTGACCTAATAAAATTATCGATTATCTCAAAGTTTGCGTTATTTTGGATGTTTCATATAGATGCGTGAAAAAATATCACTCTCTCAATTTTTCCAGAATTTTTCTGATTTTTAATGTATTTGGTTCGACGATCAATGAGTCGACCGATTGCGTGAGAATAAAACGTTCTTCGCTTTATCTCGATCCACTCGCTCTTTCTCTGTGTCACAGAGGCTGTTGGCGCGGAACGTGAATCATCAACAACATTGGTTCGCCTGATTTAAAATCTTCCCTTCTCGTGCTCTTCATCTCTCTTACAACTGGACCCTTCATTTTTCATGATACTTTATCCATTCCACTAGAGTCCTTCCTTTCTCAATGTCGTATACTATCACTCAGATACGACTCGAGGATTTCTTACATCAAGATGTTCTAACTCGACGCATTCTCTCTTTTCTCACATTAAATAAAAAAATATAAAGGCTTTAATAATTTACACAATAGGCATATTGATAAAAGATAGATATAGATAAAACGACAAAATAGTAGCTTCGACTCAAAGAATGCGTTTATTTTATCATGCTCTTTGATTAAGGTAAACAGATTCTGCTCGCCTCGATGTGCGCGCGCGACGAAGTTCCAAAACATAAAATGAATACCAGCTTCAACTCGTTAAGACACTAAACATAACTCGGTCGGAGATTCCCGCAGAGTGTTTAGAGAGAAGCGGATTATGCTAATTCTATTGAGAAAACTAACTCCTCTCTTACGTGAATGGACTCACCAGTGTTCCCCGAACAAATACCGCGGATCTATTAATTCGTGCGTTTCAACCCGCGCGGGTCGATACTGCGAGAATGTTCACAACAAAGTTCACCGTCCTTATCCGGGCGAAGCTCGCTAACACCAAACGCACGTTACAAAGTAAATGTGACGCCGCCGCGGCACTTGCGTCATTCCGCCTTTTAACCCGGGTTGCACACGTCTCTCCGCAAAACCCATCGGTTGTCACATGAATAATATCCATACTAATGTAACGTCGTCACGAATGTCAACGCTAACGAGCGACGCGACAGCGCGCGCGGAAAGTGCTCGCGGAATAAAAATCTGGTTTCATCAACAAGAGAGTAAAAATAAACTCGAACTCGCGTTGAGCGACTACGGACGAGAATCGAGCGAGTGGAGCAGGAGGATGACGAGAAGGGTGGGCCCGAGAGGGTCGCGCGGGGATGGAATCCGCAATAAAAGATAACCGGATTCAAGTGCGGAGACTGCGTTGCACGCGAGCGACAGTAAAGGCTCTGCTTATTACGTAGAGAGGAGCGGAATCTGGACCGAACCCCAAGAGAAACATGTAACGCCCCGGCGGACAACGGAATATGGTAATTCGCTCGATGGGACCAGCCGGAGCGGGACGGGCTGCCTCTCACTTCGCGAATATATATGCGCCATATACGAGTGTCACTGAGATTGCACGCGTGCGAAGTTTACGCCAGCGGCGCGATCGTACTCGCAGAAAAATAGTTTACGCCTCGATCGGTTACTTTAAATTAAGTCACGTACCCGGAATATCGTAAAAATGTTTCACGCGTTACAAGTATTAAGAGATATATATATCAGTGGAAGCATCCTCAACATTTTTTGAATACTATTAAATAGTGCACTAGATGTAGAGAAACATTGAAATAAATGAAAGTTTGCTGTGAAAGAAGCGACATATCTATATATGAAAGATAAAAATTTTGATAAAAAATTTTTCTCTTTAAAAAACAAATATTTTATTTATTTAGAAGAGTTATGAAAATATATTTTTTGCGCCTACTTTGTATTTCATAAATTACATTTACGCGAGTTTATACATAACTATAAATTGAATTTATTTAATTCTCGTACCGCTTGAAATTACATACGTTGCGCTCACGTTGCAACAATTGTTGCGAAAACTTTTTGAGCGTCTAAAACTCGCCAGGAAAGAATATTTTTACGAGTGGGAGGCTCGCGTTTAGCTACCCCCTCGATTACTGTAACGTCCGCAGGATCCGCTCTCTGCGGCGCTCTTAAAAATCGGTTCTGACCCTTATCCCACGATAGGCACTGAAAAAGTGGTCTTCCGCCAATCTGGCATGGCGAAGTGGAGGGAAGACCCGTGTGTTAAATTGCCCGTACCGCCCTGGGAAATTGGGTCGATGCACGAGAAAATCGACTGCAGATTGAGAGAGAAGGGGAGAGGAGAGGAGCTTCCACAGCATCGAGGATCGAGCTCCATCGATGCGAAATTGGAGCTGGAAATCGTGGCGCAAGAAGCCAAAAGGGGATTTGAAGAAAGCACAGAGGGACGAGCGCAGAGAGAAAGAGAAACAAGGAGCGAGAGTAAGTTAGAGTCGATCGAACGAATGCCAGGGATCGACGATTTTCGCGATCGTTGGAATTTTCGTCCATCAAACTGACTGCGTCTCGATGGCTGGCATCCCTTCGGCCCGGTGTTTAAAGTCGAAGAAATTGGCGCGGATCGAAGACGAGCGATTTCGTTCGGCGTAACAACCGAAAGTAGCAGCAGTCCTCACGCTCCGATTTGGTTTTATATGCCGTCGTTACCGGACGCTTGCATCTATTCAATAACGACTCTGGCGTAATTTAAGTTTTCGCTTAAGCGTGCACATTACGCTCCTGCGAATTTCTTCGATTCCTCATCCCGGATTTTCCTCATGCCCTCGAGTTTCAGCGAGTATCTTTCGCGCGCGATGCCGGTGCAATTCTCCTTCGAGATGAGGAATAAATGCATAATAAATGACGCAATGTGCGCAACTAGCGAGATTGACTGTCTGTTGCCGGGAAAGAGATCGGGAAATCATCCCGTGGTACAAAACAGCATGCATTCGTTGCTATCATTTATTAGAATCCACCGGTAAATCTGTATTCTGTTACTCTTTAATTTTCAAAAGCGGCGAGCATTTTAAAATATGCATGAAGATTGCGAAAGAGGAGAATTCTGTGTTATGTAAAATTTACCTTTTTTTTCTTCTTACGGAAACAAACTGAATTGCAGCCAAGAATTAGTTGAAAGACGATCGAATTGGCC